CAGAGGAAGCGGCAGCGAGGCGCCGCAATGGAGAAACAAAGAAACGATACCAAAACGCAAACTTTCGGCGCTGCGTGCGGATCTCCTGGATCTGCGAAGGACCCCCCTCCCTGGCGCGCGGAGCGCGCCAGGGGGGGCTGGGCGCGGATCCGAGAAATCCGCGCGGAGCGCCAAAAGTTGTTCATTGTTTATAACATGCTTTTCTTCTTCGACGGAAGGCGGCGCAGAGAAAACGGCAGAAAGGCAGCGGCCAGGAAGCGGGAAGCACCCACGCGCGGCACCCCACGCCAGCGGACACACGACGCGACCGCGACGTGCACGGCCGCGGGAGGAGGCCCGAGGGCTGGGAAGACGTGCGGCGCATCCGACCCTCGCCCAGGCCGCCGAAATCGAAGGGTTTCCTGCCGCTCCGAGCTGGCAGCAACGCCCGACCCGCCAGGGCGGCCCAGGCTCCAAACGCCGGCGTCGCGCCACCCGCAACTAGATGGCCTCCCGCCCGAGCCAGGGGCGGCGATGACGCGATGCTCTCAGAAGAGGCAAATTGGTAACTCCTCAAGGTGCAACTGGCAACCATGATAAGGGGAAGCCAGGACGAAGGTAACATCGGGTGAAGCTAGATCGAGAATCTCCGAGATCCGGCGGCTAGGGAGGATGCCTCGGGCGCCGCGGCCTCCTCAGAACGTTCCGGAACGCTCTGAGAGCGTTCCAGAACGCTCTGGAACAGATTCCTAGCCCCGTCCGACAGGAGGCCCGAGGGCTAGGAAGACGTGCGGCGCATCCGACCCTCCCCCAGGCCGCCCAAATCGATTGGTTTCCTGGCGCTCCGGGCTGGCAGCAACGCTCGACCCGCCAGGGCGGCCTGGGCTCCAAACGCGGGCGTCGCGCCTCCCGCGACTATATGATCTCATACCCGGGCCAGGGGTGGCGATGACGCGATGCTCTCAGAAGAGGCAAGCTGGTCGGTCCTCAAGGTGCAACTTGCAAACATTACCAGCACCCTTGAAGGCCCTTGAAGACCATGCGGCGAAACCAGCAGCCTCGATCAGGCTGGAATCCCGCGGGCCCTCTGGGTGTGGGTGGCTTTCGGCATCGGCTCGCCCAGACCCCTCCCTGGGAAGGCCGCGAGGGTTTAGGCAGAGCGTTCAAGATGGCCCCAGCTGGCCCCAAGATGGCCCAGATGGAGATGGCAATCAAAATGGCCCCAGGCAGCCCAAGATGGCCTCCGGCATGGCTCCAAGAGGCCCCAAGATGGCTCGAGGTGGCCCTCGAACCTCACGAGAATGTCCCTGAGAGGCCAAGCATATCAAAGACACACAGTGCGTCTGAATGGTGCGGCCGTCTCGCAGTCTCGTTGGGCCGCTGGGGCCCACGATACCCCGCACGGCACAACCCAAGACAGTCTCGAGAGGCAAAGTTTCGGGCTTCAAGAGGGCAAGACGAATCAGGGCACCACCCTTTCTGGTTGATGGCATCCAGGGTGGATTCAAGAGGGCAGGAGAGGGTCCAAAAATGGCCCCACTTGCGCCCAAGGAAGGCCACAAAGGCTTCCGAAGGGTGCCCAAGAGAGCACCAGGATGGCCCTCAGGCGCCCCCGAATGGCAACCATTGTATGGTGTGTGGGCGAAGCCCTCCTCTAGTTTGACTGATGCCCCACCTTTCTTTCATAAGTGATCATCCGCCACTTTTCAGGACTAGTCTCCTGGGAATCGTTTCTGGATGGGCTGGTGGGGATACATGGATACGTGGAATGCCGGATCTCCCGACCCGCTTCTTCCTGCTGCGGATTACATGTCGTTGTCCTGGGGCTCGAGAACGGCTCCAGAAACTCAAGTCTTCGACAAGCACCTCCAGCCGTGATTTCCCGTGGCGCCCTGAGCATGCAAATCGCGCCCCTGTCCCCAGGCGCAACCCGGCCAACAAGTTCGAGGGGACCCCAGCCGCTGCGACGAGAGCGCCTCAGGAGGCCCAAGACGGGCGAAAAGTCTCAAACCCTTACGAGGGGAAGGGGAAAAGGCTAGGGGCAAGGAACAGTGACATCAGCACCATCAACGCAACGAGCCAGGGGAGGGCCCCCGTGGTGGCATCTCTGGCCCTCTGACCCATTGGGGGGGGGGGGGGGGGGGGGGCAAGCGTGCCGCACCGCTGAGGGTGGCTCTGCTGGTGTTGGTGTCGCTCCGCCTTCCCCTGGGAGAGCGACAGCGGGGAGTTTTCCATATCCGCTGCCTGGGGAGCCGAAGTCCTGCGACCCGAGGGGGCAATGGACATGGCCATCTTTGGGCCCCAGGGAGCCTGAATATTTCAATGTGCACCGTCTGCCGAGGTCCCCGAAGATCGATCCACCAGGCGAAAACTATGGATAAACCCCAGCCCCAGAAACGGATCCTCGACGCCGGGGCCCTCCACCCGGACCAGCTCTTCATCCAAAGCCGTTCTTTGACAGGTCCCGGTCGGGGGAGAGGGGGAGGAGGAGGAGGAGGAGGAGGAGGAGGAGGAGGAGGAG